CGATCAGAATGCAGAAACTGTGTGGTTGGTTTAATCTAGGTTGGATATTGCTGTGGTGGGCAGGGTATGGGATGGACCACTCTTGTGATGTCAGAACTGCCTAGATGAGGACAGAAGCGGGAGTGAGGAGTGAGTTGGTATATACCAAAGCAAGTTCCCAATGTCATTAATGAATGAGGACACACGTCCTGGGAAACTGATGATAGTGGCAACAAGAATGAGAAACAGGTGCTGTGATTGGCCTTTGCTCTGAGGGAAGGGAGGTGCTGGAAGGGGTATCATGGAACAGGGGCTCTAAATAGCAATGGGGGAACAAGAGAATGCCAAGGTAACTATGTGGAAAACAGACCACATAACAGACATATTGGCAGATACGTATGTGTATGTAGTCACTGACTGGGTCTTTATAGTACAGTCACATTTGAGGCTCATTCATAGCCTTTCTCCCCTATTTATTGAACAGTTGGGTTCTAGGCTTCTGATATCTGGGTCCAGCCATGAGGAAGTCAGGCTAAGTATGAAGGGCTGAACATTTATTTATTTATTTTTAAAGGTTTATTTATTTTTAGAGAGAGAGACAGAGGGGTGGATAGGGGCAGATGGAGAGGGAGAGATAGAATCTTAAACAGATGCACTGCTGAGCGGGGAGCCCGGCTTGGGGTTGGATCTCACAATCCTGAGATCATGACCTGAGCCAAAATCAAGAGTGGGACGCTTAACCGACTGAACCACCCAGACACCCCGGGGCTGAACATTTATTCAATTAGTAAATTTTGACTGAAGGTACCAGGTTCTAGGCATTGTCTGAAGATTCAAGGAGGAAAAAGGTCTGGATCTTGCCTTGGGCATGTGCATATTTACTGCAGAGTCTCAGCTTTACAAAGATTATAAGGGGAAACTAGAGCTTCCCACCAGTAATTCTCCTTCCCACTAAATATGTGATGTTGGAGATTGAGAGAGGGTTTGGGAGAGGGCTAGCAAAGAAAGTCTGACAGTGTCAGTAAAATTTTGGAATTAAGGAAGTATTTTCTAATTTTTTTTAAAGATTTTATTTAATTATTTGAGAGAGAGAGAGAGAAGCTGGGGGAGTAGCAGAGGGAGAGGGAGAAGCAGACTCCCCACTGAGCAGGGAGCCCAATGCGGGGCTTGATCCCAGCACCCTGGAATCATGACCTGAGCTGCAGGCAGATGCTTAACGATAGAGCCACTCAAGAAAGTCCCAAGAAAGTATTTTCTAAAGAAAGAATTTTATCATTTTCAAGTAACATAGTATGGAACTTGGACTTATGAATTTCCCAGCAAAGATTCTGCTTAATTTAGTTGATAGGAGAATGAAACTGATTGGGTCTACCAGCACTGGTGAATAACACTGCTTACAGGTATGGGTAGGATTTCATGGGTGGTGGGGTTGCCAGGCATTCTGCGTGTCCAAGATATGTCCTGTGTTTAATGGTTTGTCCTGCTTTCTGTATTGGCTTTCTCAGGACACCTGAAATATTCTGTAACCATCTTCCCCCCCAACATATTATAAAAATCCATCAGTTAAAGCTATCATTCAAATGTATCTGAGCACCCTATACTTTTATTTGCTAAATTTTGTGGCCCTACTAAGGAATCATTCAATGCCTATAACCTTGTATACTTTGGCCTGCTTGATGGTGTCTCTGTCAAGGCAAATATGACTTCCTGTTCCAGGAATTTCCCAACACTGATCACAGTCTGTCTTTCTGAAATTTTTACCCAACACCGATCACAGTCTTTTTGAAATTTTGACCTGCTGCTCCAACATCACTCTTTGAGACCACAGAACAAATCTAATCCTTTTTCCTTAAAGGAGTTCAGTAATTGAATTCACTTTGTTGGAGACCACCTCATGTGGTAGACTCTTAATAAGCTCCCTATGAGCTAAAACCAGCGGTGTGCTAGTAAACTGGATCAAAAACACAAAAAATAAAACTTTGATGTGTGGCATATGCGGATTTCTGTGGTGAAAATGCTCCTGCTATGACACCATGACCAATTTCACACTGCGAAGTCAAGTCTTTGAATTCAGAGTTGGGAAGGGATGTGCACATTCCACTCTTGAGGTTGGTAAGCGCTAGCTCCAGCACAACAATCCCTAAGTTTTCTTTTTATTGACATATTTTGTAATTAGTTTCACTCTTTGAATATTGAGTTGTTGATACTGGTATCTTTTTTTTTTAAAGGTTTTATTTATTTATTTGAGAGCGCACACGAGAGAAAGCACAAGTGGGGTGAGGGGCAGAGGGAGAAGCAGGCTCCCCGCTGAGCAAGGAGCCCGATGTGGGACTCGATCCCAGGACCCTGGGCTCATGACCTGAGCTGAAGGCAGATGCTTAACCCACTGAGCCACCCAGGTGCCCTGATACTGGTGTCTTGAAAAGAATTTTATTTTATTTTTTTAAGATTTTATTTATTTATTTGACAGAGAGATAGAGAGAGAGCGCACAAGTAGGCAGAGAGGCAGGCAGAGGGAGAGGGAGAAGCAGGCTCTCCACTGAGCAGGGAGCCCGACGCGGGGCTCGATCCCAGGACCCTGGGATCACGGCCTGAGCTGAAGGCAGACGCTTAACGACTGAGCCACCCAGGTGCCCTTGAAAAGAATTTTATAAACACTCTACACATAGGTTTGATAAGAGGAGGTGATGGGTTGGCTATGGAGAATAAAGAAGAGGATGAGATCAAAAATAACTCACGGGTTCCCGGGGATCACTACTAATCAAGACAGAGACAAGACAGTAGGTTCAGGGAGGAAGGGTAAGTAATTTATACATTCCTCGAGCAAATGTTTATTGAGCACTAATCCATGTCAGGCACAGGTATTTCTGAGGATAGATATAAGAGAGAACACAACAGATAAAAATCCTTGCTCTTGTGGAGATGATATTTTATCTTATTAGAACTGGCCCCTTGAGGGAAACCTGTGGGAATCTCCTTAGACCCAGAATCTTCTGCTGAGTAACTCCCCTACGCTTTCCAGGTTCAAGCCACTGAGACATTTGGTAAATGGCTGTCTAGTACCTTGTACCACACCATTAGAAACCACCATCCAAACTGATTTCAGATGGTGCACCTTGTACCACACCATTAGAAACCACCATCCAAACTGATTTCAGATGGTGCAGCTCCTATAGGTAGCCTTTCATGCCATTCCTTACTGACTCCCTCCCTCGGAATCCAGTTAACTCTTGTCCTCTAGCAACCCTTGTAGTCATAAGATATAACCCTTGTTATTCTGTGTAATCTGTATCTTTTTGCTTCCCTGCTACATTGTACATTTTCCAAGGGTGTTTTCTTGCAAGTTCCTCATGAAGTAGAGCCATCCATCAGCTTAGCCTTTTTCTGAAGCAGTAAAGTCCACACTAAACACATTTTCAATGTAAAATATTCATCTAAGCCAGTCAAAATCATTTTTACTTTACATTAATATTTTCCCTCTGGTTACATTAAAATAAAATCCCCAAACAAAAATAGAACCCCTCATATCTGTCCTTCTGGGATTTTATTCTAATTAAACACACATACATTTTTCACAGTTCATTATAAAAGTAATGTCTTTTAACTCCCTACTAGTGACTTTATTCATTGTTTTACATTTGGCTTACTGCCGGAGGAAAGGTACATGCATGCGGGAGGAAGGGTAATTAGATAGTAGCGCTGGGGCAAATAATTACTTGGGAAAAAATAGTACAAATAACTATATGAATCAATGTCTAATGTCAGTCATCCCATAACCCACTAGGCAAGGGAATGGCTTTGCTCTAGACTCTGGCATCCAGTAGAAACCATCTCCAGAAATCATTTCATCTTTATCTGTAACGGTAACGTGGCATGGTGTTCTCTAGATGCGTTGCATCTGCCACCGGCAAATCTACAGAACTCTAAAGGGTGTCATTTGCACACGATTTCTTCTTGTACAGTGAGTAGTTTCCGCAGGACCTGTGAGCTTGCTTAGGTTTTCTGAAGGTCTCAGGATCAAAGCCTTACACATCCCTTTTGTCCTCAGAAGAGCTATCACACAGCCATACCTTCGACATTCCAGTAAGTTTTGATCTTGGAGGCATTTAGAACATTCTTACATTTCTAATTTTGTTCCAGTCTGATACGTGTCATTGTACTTTCTCTCTTTAATCAAATCCAGAGTCAACATCTCTTACCATCTTCAAGAGAGACCACTGATGTAGGGCTCTCATCTCTGATGTGTTGTGCACCTAAATAAAATTATTCGCTAGGATGTTTGTGCTCCAAGAGCTGCTGTATATATTATAGACAGCAAAGTTTTCTGGCAAGTTTGCTTTTGGTTTCTTCAAAAGTTAACATGGATTTTCCAGGGCTAAAGGACACAAAGAGGTATTTACTTTTCAGATTTCCTACCCAATATGTTTTAACATAAGTAGAAAAAGATAGTACCAGTTTCCCAGTGTAGAGGATTTCTCTGGATCACTCCACTGTATCCATTTCTCTGCCTCTCCTTGTGAGAAGACTGGAACTAACAGATAAGCTGGTCCTTTGCCCATCTGCCTAGGATTAACTTCTTCCCTTCCTTGCTCTCACTCTAGATTGTGGATTTTGTTTGAAATCTGTTTCACTTCCGACACTTAAAGAACGACCTCATTTAATCCTGCTCAAGTGATAGCTGGGAGCTCTTAAAAACAAACAAACCCAAAACGTTCTATGTGGCCAATCATATAGCTCATGGGAGCCCCATGAAATTTGATCTAAACTTTATCTCTGATTCTCTTTTGACACGTCCTTTTCTATTAACACTGAAAAAACCAAGTCAAAGTTTAGGCCAAGTAGGGGCAGGGCCTGGTGGAGAGGTAGGAGTTGACTGAAATTGGGGGTCCCTGAAACAGACAATTATCACCCCAAACCCATTTCCCTCAAAGCTGGGGGTGATGGCCAAGTTATATTCTCCAAGCCACCATCTGCCTGGAGAAAGGGTACTCTGCCTTTCTAATCCATAACATCCCCAGTACCTTGGTCATTGCTGGTGGTCATACACTCCATGGACCAGTCTTGGGGGATCACAGGGGCAACCAGCTCAGCAAACTCCGTCAGAGGACAGCTGGAAGTGCAGCCTGGCAACGTGAGGGGGTATGGTTCATGCTGGGTCTCATTCCGGTAGTACATCTCTACAAAGTACTCCCTGGTGGAGGAAGGTAGAAGACGGAGCTGTTAGTTCTGTGTTGTTAAACTGCCACTGAATTATTTTCCACCTGGCCTGTAATATGTCAGCTGTAGTTAAAAAGTTAAGAAGTTAGGGGCATCTGGGTGGCTCAGTCGGTTAAGCATCTGCCTTCAACTCAGGTCATGATCCCAGGGTTCTGGGATCCAGCCCCGCATTGGGCTCCCTGCTCAGCGGGGAGCCTGCCTCCACCCCACCCCCATGCATGCACTCTCTCTCTCAAATAAATAAAATCTAAAAAAAAAAAAAAGAAGTTAAGAAGATACAAGTTAAGAGGGGAAGAATTTACAGGAGTGAGTAGATATTAGCTAACTTAAGTGTGGGAATGGGGAGATTGGGGCAGGTGGACCAGATCCAGAGGGTGGAAATGGTAGGGCTGGTTTGTTAGATAACCAGGGGCAAAAGAGGTGGGGAGCGGGATGCTTAATTGGAGAGGGAGCTGAGAGGCGATGGTTGGGGGAATTGGGGTGATCTGATGAGCCTTTGAGTAAGAAGTGGGGGGCAGGTAGGGTATTGGGTTTTCCTTCTCTTATTCTCTCCCCTTCATGATCCTCATTTGCTTCATTTTCTCTTTTCCTCTCTCAGGATTTCTTTTAGGTTTTCCTCTGAATGAAGGTATCTCTGCTTTCCTTATCCAGGCAATAAACCTGGAACTGAGCAATACTTAACACATGTGCTTAAATATACATCCAGACTTTGTCAAAATTACACCTCAGAAAGAGGGTGTAATTCCTTATTCCTAAGTCCTTATACTCCCTCACATTTGATACTTTATTTGAAAAAACAAGGTGTATGCCAACCTTATAAAACTAGTATGAGGGCCTTATGGACTCATTTGCCAAAGAGGCGGGAGAGAAACGGAAGTAGGATTTAGTGATTATTCTTGGGGTAGTAACCTCACAACTACAAACAAGTCTTCTAAAATATCACTTTCAGGGGTGCCTGGGTGGTGCAGTTGTTTAAGCATCCGACTCTTGGTTTCCGTTCAGGTCATGATCTCATGGTCATGGGATCGAGCCCCCAGTCGGGCTCTGCGCTAGTTTCGACGTCTGCTTGAGATTCTCTCTTTCTCTCTCTGCCCCTCCTGCTCGTGCTCTGTCTCTGTCTCTCTGTCTCTAAAATGAATAAATAAATCTTTAAAAAAAACCTTCACTTTTGGGGTGCCTGGGGGCTCAGTCATTAAGCATCTGCCTTCAGCTCAGGTCATGATCCCAGGGTCCTGGGATCGAGCCCCGCTTCGGGCTCCCTGCTCAGCGGGATTTCTCTGTAGTATGTGATGCTGTTTGATAGCATTTTACCTATAGAACTTCTTTCAAAATTAGAGTCAATTCCCTAAAACCCTGTTGCTGCTTTAACAATTAAGTTTATGTGATATTATCAGTCCTTTGTCGTCATTTCAACAACGTTCCCAGCATCTTCACCGGGAGTAGTTTCCATCTCAAGAGACCATTTTCTTTTCTTTTTTTTTTTTTTAAAGATTTTATTTATTTATTTGAGAGAGAGAGAGAGAATGAGAGATAGAAAGCACAAGAGGGAAGAGAGTCAGAGGGAGAAGCAGACTCCCTGCTGAGCAGGGAGCCCGATGTGGGACTCGATCCCGGGACTCCAGGATCATGACCTGGGCCGAAGGCAGTCGCTTAACAGACTGAGCCACCCAGGCTCCCTCAAGAGACCATTTTCTTTGCTCATCCATAAGAAGCAACTCCTCATCCATCAGTTTTATCATGAGATTGCAGCAAGTCAGTCCCATCTTCAGGCTCCACTTCTAGTTCTATTTCTCTCACTATTTCTACCACATCTGCACTGAAGTCTTAAATCCCTCTAAGTCATCCACAAGGGTTTTGGAATCAACTTTTTCCACACTTCTGTTAATGTTGACATTTTGACTTCTTCCCCTGAATCATGAATGTTCTTAATGGATTTAAATGGTGAATCCTTTCAATATACTTTGCCCAAATCCATCAGAGAGGAATCACTAGGGGTGCCTGGGTGGCTCAGTCAGTTAAGCATCTGCCCTCGGCTCTGGTCATGATCCCAGGGTCCTAGGATCGAGTCCCGCATCGGGCTCCCTGCCCAGCGGGGAGCCTGCTTCTCCCTCTCCCTCTGCCCCTCCCCCGGCTCATGTTCTCGCTCTCTCTCTCAAAAAAATAAATAAAATCTTAAAAAAAAGAGGAATCACTAGTGTATCTATGGCAGTTAAAGCCTTACTATAGGCCTTAAAAAGATGGAAACTTGGGTCCCCAAATCACCATGGGTGAGTCACCTCCTAATGGCCAGGGACATCTCTCTTTTTTTTTTAGGGGGGAGGGGCAGAGGAAAAGGAAAAGAGAGAATCTTAAGCAGGCTCCATGGCCAGTGCTGAGCTTGATGCCAGGCTTTATCTCACAACCCTGAGATCATGACTTAAACCAAAATCAAGAGTTGGACGCTAAACCAACTGAGCCACCAGGCGCCACAAGTGAGGGACATCTCTATTGGGGTATTACATGAATGAGAAAATGTCCATTGGGATAGGCCTCTGAGAATCTGAGGTTAATTTGTACAGCAGCCAAAATTACCCTTATTAGTTAATATATCTGGAAAACAGTTTTAGGGGACTCAAAATTGGCTCTAGTGGTGAAGACACAAATTAAGATGCATACAAAGAGTTTGGATAAATTATTTCATGAAATTTGAAAGTGGAAAAATAGCAATATTTTTAACTTAGGGAATTATTTTACATAGTATATGATTTTATTTATTTATTTTTTATTATGTTCAGTTTATGATTTTAAATTTATGTACCTAACTGAAAATTAAATATTTTTTAAAATTTTAAGCTAATAATAACAATAATAACAAAACCTGGGGGCCAGTGGTATTAATTGTGAAAAACACCTCTTAGATACTCACCCCTTCTCAAGATACAATTCCATTATGTGGCAGGAAGCATAGGGAGGAAGGATTCCGTTGTAAACATCTAGTGCCATCTGTAGGCCACTCACGGTAGTGTCATGCTGTGGGGATTTGAAATAAATCATTTTTGATCTTTACCTCTGGTTCCGATGTACATTCCATGGGTAGTATTAAGCACTTGTAGAGAACTGTGGTTTCTGATTCACTTAAAGTTGCCATACCCCCATGGTAGAAGGGAAGAACTAATTTTGGTGGAGCATCTGTTGTGTGCGAGGCAGTATGCTTTTTTTTTTTTTTACATATCATTATTCCCATTAAAAAGATGAACAAACCCAGATAAATTAAGTAACTTGCTTAACGTCATATAACCCCAAAATGGAAGAAATTTGAGTCTAGTGTTCGGGTTTTGTACCATGCTTTTTCCCAGTGGAACATCTCTGTTTTAGCTTGTTTCATTGATTTTTATTATATTTTAAAATATTTTGGAACATATTAATGCTAGATTATATTTCTTCTGCAGATTAGAATAATGTGTGATTTTAAAGTTGGGGAAGAGGCTTGCCTGGGTGGCTCAGCTGGTTAAGAATCTGCCTTTGGCTCAGGTCATGATCCCAGGGTCCTGGGATCGAGCCCCATGTCAGGTTCCCTGCTCAGTGGGGAGTCTGCTTCTCCCTCTCCCTCTGCCTCTCCCTGATTGTGTTCTCTCTCTTTCTCAAAGAAATGAATAAAAAAATCTTAAAAAAGTAAAGTTGGGGAAGAATATATAAGATTATAAATGATAGGTTAAAATGTGAGGAAATAGAGCGCATAATTGAAAAATAATTGTTAATTGTTTATCCCAGAGTGGCTGGAAGGCATAGGGCTGGTTTTCAGTCCCAGTTTGGCCACTATTTAATTACATAATCTTTGAAAGTCCTCAGCTTCTATATCTACAAAATGGGTATAACATCTGGTTGCCTAAACTATATGGCAGTATACACATATTAAAAAGGGCTCAGAACTGATTTACTGGAGAAAGAACTAGAGTTACAGATTTATGACTTGCCAGAAATCATACAAGTCATAACGGGAAACCAGATGAGAAACTAAAGAAACTGGCAGAACGGACTGGTTTCCGAAAGTCCCTCTCCAGGGAGAACCACGCTCTGTTCCATCCATAAGCTCTTTGTCTTATACCATTCAGAGCCTCTGCTGATAAACAAACTTCCCTGTATCTGGAGTCACCCCTTCCAGCTTCCTGCAGAATGAAAACATGGCTTTCTCCAGCCAAACCATATCTGAGAAATCCTCTGTCCTAGAGAAGTGGGTGGGAAACTTGAGTTCCCATACTGTGTGTTCCGGTTCCCTGCTCATTGCAGACTCCACGGACAGCCATTTCAGTGCTCAATGTACCCCTTGAATCTCCGTGCCCTGCCAATCTCCCTGGCTCCCTGAACACTGCCTCTTTTCCTGGCTTCTACTCCCAAGGTTGGAGTCTTCTCCGAGACCTACCTTTTTCTTTCTGCACCCAGTTTGGCTCTAACTTCATGTTGCAGGTCTTTTTCCCCTTCTCTCTTCTAGTCCCTTTGCCTTCTGGAGATTTCTATTTGGAAGCTCCCTGGCATTTCAAACCCAGTTGTCTAAATCGTTACATTCCCCTGGCCCAAGAGCACCTCGGTTAATGGCTACACTCTTTTCCCAGTCCTGGAGGCTTGAAACATGGCCTTCGTCTGTGGTTTTACCTCCACATCGTCACTCCCCACCTGCATCCCATTCATCATCGCATCCCGTTCATGCTCTGCTTTTAGTTTGGAACAGAAGTGATGCTTCCCTTCTCTGTGTCACCAAAGCACTTGCTTACGCTGCATTTCTATACTGCTCTGCATGGTGTTTATGTCTTCTTGTCAGTCCTAGACTGTAAGTTCCTCAAGGGCCAGAATTATGTATCTAATTTTAAAATTAAAATTTAAAATAAAAACAAAACAACATACAATTTAAAAATGCCAACCACATAGGTGGTCATCTATACACATATTTAGGAGAGCTGAAGAATCAATATCTAAAATGTCTACCATCTACTGGGCAATAGGGAAATGATGATGAAGAAAATGAGGCTCCTGCCTTAAAGAGGTCACTGTCCAACCAAATGGATGTTGAGCGGAGGTGAAAACACTTACTGCCGAATACATGACAAGTTTTCTGTGGTTCGATGGCTGAGTTGCACTCTTCATGTGATTGAGGATCTCACTGACCAGGATACCTTAGAAAAGACAGATCAACAAAGGAGCTGAACCAAACATGGGCTTAAACTTTTTGTTAATTGCTACTTCGTGATTCTCCCTGCCATGATTCTGACGAGATCGGGCGCGTTCAGGGTGGTATGGCCGTAGACCCTGCCATGATTCTGAAAACTTAAGAGAGGGAAAGAAATTACTTCGGTTGAGCATCTACTATGTGCTTTATGTTATTTTACTGAATCCCGACTTCTATCCCCCATTTAACAGTGGGAAAGCTGAGGCCCGGCGACATAAAGTGACTCATATACAGGCTGGGCAAGGAGAGTTGGATTGACACACAAGGACCCTACTATCCCAAGGTTTTGTCAAAGCTTGAGATAGGAGGTTGAGGAACTTGGAAGGAATTACAAATGGCATTTTTCAGACAGTTGCTAGCTAGTGCTCTTCTCCAGGGCAGCCCTGAAATGACAGCCTGGCATCTACTCTGTCTTCATCCCTCTTGCTTCTACTCTCTGCGAGTCAAACCATTGGGAGGCCATGGGAGAAAGCAGCTCTCTGGATGTCTGTATAGGTCCTGGACTATTTTCTGTGGACCATTCCTCCAGGTTACCCTGGGGATTACTATTAGGGGGCAGCCAGCATCTTCCATCTGAGGGCTCCATAGAAGAGAGCTCTTGCCCTTCATGTTGTTGTTCCTGAGGTGGTGAAGGGCAGGCACACAACTCAGAGTCTCCATCCTCTTGGCAGATGCTGAAGGCTGAGAGGTATCTTGGGGTGGCAGGTGCTGGCTTGAGGACATGGTGCCCCAGGGATTTCCACAACCATCACCTGAAGACTCCTTATATTTCTGGTGGGTTTTTTTTTAAGGTTTATTAATTTATTTGAGAGAGAGAGAGAGAGAGAGAGAGAGAGCGCGCATAGGGGGAGGGGCAGAGGGAGAGTCCGAAACAGACTCCATGCTGAATGTGGAGCGGGGTGTGGGGCTCGATCCCACGACCTGGAGATCACCACCTGAGCTGAAACCAAGAGTCAGACGCTCAACCAACTGCGCCACCCAGGCGCCCCGGTGGTTTCTTTACTACACATGTACTCTCCTGGCTTCAGAATGACCAGTTTGTTTTTGTAAAGAGCAGGGCATTGATGTTAACAGACTGTTATTCCCGACTCTGTGGTCCACTTAGCAAACACACTGAGCAGCTACCATGGGTCAGATGCTATGCTAGCTGAAATCAGACTCCTGCCCTCAAAAACCTCATAACATAGTACAAAGAGACTGTTTTCTCATCTGTCTACCAAGAGGCACCATAAAGGGTTAATTAAGAAGGGAGGCGGTCTGCTCTCTCTGTAGATGCTGGGACTCTTTTGACTAGGAATAGAAGAACCTGGAAGCCACATCTCCAACAGGTCTACATCACTCTGCTTCAGAGAAGGTGGCTTTCTCAGCGTCCTTTAGGGACAACACCATCACCCATCAGCAACCTGTCCTTCGACAGGTGCCTCTGCAGCAGCCTTCGGTGTTGATAATGGGATATGGTATCAGCTCTTGGTTCTGGGGGTGGTTGTCCACCTTGCCCCAGAAGAACCTAGGGGTAACCACCACAGTTACCCCCGGGCTCTGAGGTGCCAATAATTATGTTTGCGGGGGGGGCACGGAGGTTCAGAGACATTCAGCAACGTGCCCAAGATTCCACACCCTGTGCACAGAGGGGCTGAACGTCTCTGAACCCAGCATGTCTTAATCATCTGACTACCCTGTAACACAGGCTAGTTTCTGAGTTCCCTGTTGCATCATTTACTGACTGCATACACTAGACAAAATATCACTGACTGGAAGACACAAACTTCCCTTCCCACACTCTTGAGCTAGAGCAGGGGCTGGTATACTTTTTCTGTAAAGGACCAGACAGTCAGTGTTTTAGGCTCTGTGGACCCTATGTTCGGCCGTAACGGTTCCCTCTCAGGGCGAAGCCCCAAAACAGCCATAGCACTACCTAAATGAGTGTGGCTGAGTTTCAATCATATTTTATTTATAAAAAATAGGCAGCAGGCTGGATTTGGCTTGCAGGCAGTAGCTTACATCAACCTGGGGCGTACACCGAGGTTTGCATTAGTGCAGATATGACCAGCCATGTATCAAAAATTCCTAAATGAACCTTAGGAATTTTTGTGGGGTGTGTGTGTGTGTGTGTGTGTGTGTGTGTGTGTGTGTGTAGAAGGAGGTGGGTGGAGGAGTACAGAGTACCAAATTGTGTCATCCCTAAAACCAACTGATGGAACAAAAGTTTTGGCAAAGATCAGAAGATGTCAAAATCCTGATGTTCCTGTGTGACTCTGTGTCACCCAGACAATACAGGTTTTCTCTGTAGGATTGTGTTTAGCCACTTCATCATCCAACAAGCATGCAGTTGCCAAATCTCCCTTGCCTACCCAGATCCAAACAATAGGCTGAACTCGGGTTTTGGTAGGGATCACTCAGGAAACAATTTCCTGGCCAATCAATAGCCTGGACTTCTCCAGAAAATAGGACAGGTGCATTCACACAAATACCTGCCTTTGGAGTCTGAGACTAAAAGAACAGCTTAGGGAAGGACTCTTAATAGACAGAATCTAATTTAACGCACTCATGAGAGGGGGAAACCGGATTCAAAGAGAAAGTGACTTCCCTGAAATGCAATGTCTAGTAGTCAAAGGAAAACAAGAAGAGGAAACATGAACAAACTGCGAGGAAATCCCCCAGTTTTTCTTCCTATGCAGACTCCTGCATCCATTATTAGACTATTCTCAGTTTCTGCCTGGCTCTCCCTGCCCATTTCTTCAGCATTTCTTGCATCTAGAGAAGTGCTTCTGAACTTTCATGTTTCGTGAGGTGCCTAGGGATTTCAGAAGAATGCAGATTCTGATTCAGCTCGCCTGGGGTGGGGCCTGAGATTCTGCATTTCCAGAGGCTTGGTGATGCTGTTGCTGCTTCATGGATGGCATGTTGAGTAGTGAGGGCTGAATTCCTCAGCCCATTTTGACTGGGGTGGGGGGAAACTCAATCAAGAGCGCTGTCTCCACCCTCTGATGTGACTTGGGATTGGGTCCTACCTCTGGGACCTGGTGGTTCAGGAATAAGACCTGGTGTATGTGTAGCCAGTGGGGCCCAACGTCCACCCTCTGCCTCCTTTTTTGTTTACACATCAGATTGGGCTGCTGCCTGGGCCATGACCAGTGAACATCTGCCCAGTCTGGTCCAACAACCAGGATGCTTTGCCTCTGTCTCCTCCCGGGGCTCTGCTGAACTGGTCCTGACCCCACAGTGAAGAGGGTCTGGTAATGGTTGGAGTCTTGATGTGATTGCTCTGTTTTTCTCCACCTGTCTAGAGTCTATGACTTGGAACATCTCCTGTGGCTGAGAATTTCTTCGCTGTTATGTCAGCCTGACATAATGGACCTCCTCTTGCTCTCCATCCTCACTTTTCATGTCTACATTAACAACCCCTAGAGGTGACGCCCCCTTTGGTGTCTTGGCCTGCAGTGCAATTGCCCTTAGAGGCATCAGCATCTCTTGCTGTTCTGCCTGGTTCTACCTTCTCTCTTCCACCCACCTATCCTGATTAGAAGGGCTTGGCAGCCTCTTGCCCGGGTCTACTTTTATTATGATAGGATGTCCTATGCTATGAAGGGCCAAATCCAGCTGAAAGGAGGCATCACTGAGAAATAAATGCCATTCAACACCAATGGAAAAATTTAAGTTGTGTCATAAATTTATCGATTGCAATATGTATTAATCTACATAACATAATTAATCTGCAAAATGTGTTTTACTAACTTTAACAATGCTACCTCAGGAAAATGGGCCCCTTTTGTCATACTTCCCACTAGAAGAATTCATCTTATAGGCCGCCAGACACAACTGCTTTCCGTGGGGCTTAGATACAAAATCCTTAATTGTTTCATCTGGAAAGGATGAAAAAGATCCTTTAGCTTTAGCCCAAAGCGTCCATTTCCCAGATGGGAAAACTAAGGTCCAGAGTGGGTAACATTAATGACTATGAAAACACGTAATGTTTATTGACAGTGTGTTACGTACCAGGTACTGTTTGTCCCAAACTTTTTGAATACACCCATTTATTTTAATCCTTACCACCCGTGAGGAGGGTATCATTATTATCCCCATTTTGAAGAATGGAAACCAGTGTAGGAGCAATGAAGGGACCAGTCCAAGGTCACACAGCTGATTAGTGGTGGGACGGCACTCAGGCCCTGATCACTCCACCACAAATCTAGTACAGTCCTTTTACGTTTTTATAGACTTACCCCCCTGCAGTCTAGATTTCTCTTTCTGCTTGTGAATTCCATAGATGGACAGGATGCACAACTCTGATAATTCTTTCAGCTTAGTCATGGTGTCCTCTGTGGCCCAGGAGGGTAAAGTGAAATTGTGAACACTCTATAGCAAAGAAAAAGGGAAGAAAATGTGTATTTTTAAATGATTTTTTGTCCTCTTTGTCCCACAAGAACTACTGGGTCTAGCCTTATCCTGTTGTTTCTCTCTAGGAAAACTTTATTTTTTTATTTTTTATGTATTTTTTTAAAGATTTACTTATTTGACAGAGAGAGAGAGAGCACAAGCAGTGGGAGCGGGAGAGGGAGAAGCAGACTCCCTGCTGAGCAGGGAGCCCCGATGTGGGGCTCGATCCCAGGACCCTGGGATCATGACCTGAGCCGAAGGCAGACGCTTAACGACTGAGCCACCCAGGCGCCCCTAGGAAAACTATTTTGTGATTAGTAGCGGTATTGATTTTCAGAAGGGAAATTCACAGAGACTGATTTGCTCCTTCCTACCAAGTCCATAGCTTTTGGCTGAACTGTGGGGGCAAAGGGGGATTCCTATTTTGCAGAGAAAGCGTGAGGCAGGGCAAGAATGTACCTCTTTCCTTTATGAAAGGTTTAGAGATCTATGAACTTGGGGGGAAGGTGACACTGACAGGGTTAGATGATGTTTCTGTCAAAGCTGAGTGAGTGCCCTTAGAGGACAGCTGGGAGAGGCAATGTATTTCTGGAGCCTTCAGTACCAGACCCTCCACTCCCAACAGCTTCTAGTTTACTGCCTTCTGGGGAATGTGCACTGTACACACAGTAGGATCTTAGTGAATACGTATTAAATGGATGAATAAGCTAGACAGCCGGACTGGTGTAGACTTCCTGCCAATATTTCTTACTTGCTATGAAAAGTTGATTAAGAATCCCCCAGATTCAAAGGTAGGATTGAGAGAGAGAGAGAGAGAGTACTTGAGAGAGGAGATCAAAGTGGAGTGCCTAGGGAGGAAATAAGTGGGAAAGAAGTGAAAAAGAAACCATGCACCACGGCCACATCATGCAACAGCTCAGATCAACCTGTAGTGAGGAAGAAAAAAAAGAAAATTAAGACTTGAACAAAAATATGGGCTCTTGTCTCTATTGGAGAGTTTTTTTTTTTTAAGATCTGTTTATTTGGCAGGGGGGAGGGGGTCGGGTAGGGGCAGAGGAAGAGGAAGAGAATCCCAAGCAGGCTCCACACCCAGGGCAGAGCCCGACATGGGGCTCATCTCATAATCCTGAGATCATGACCTTTAGCCTAAACCAAGCTTTGGATGCTTAACTGACTAGCCACTCAGGCGCCCCTCAAGAGTCTTTTATAAGGCTAATAAATCTTCCTTGAAACAGCTGTTAATGATAAAGTGAAAATATCAGGAGGTCATGTGAAGGTCAATAAACTGTTATGGAGGGGGGGCAAACTGTCGTTTGTTACTGACACGGAACCATGAAAATAATTGCTGGCCCCCAGGCCCTTATGATGATCTTAAGGTGGATATAAGTCCTGTGGGTGGTCAGAATTTTGCCCCAGGAATCAGGGAACCCAGTCGGGAAAACAGGATTACAGAGTACTCCTTTGGGCCAGTAGGTGGTGCATAGTGAGTGAAAAATACCAAGTAGCCTTGAAAACCCCAATGGTAACTGATGGAGCTTCACAGGTTATTTCATATGCATGTATAGCAAGGAAGAGATTACCAATAAACCAATTTCAATAGCCTGGCTTAAAGTTGTCTTGCTTATTTCTATATCCAGAAATCAGGTACCCTCCCCCTTTTTTTTTGGCTCTGTCTATATAACAATATTCTTTTTTTCATTAAAATCCATAACAGGAGCCCTGCATTCCTGAGTGACTGAAAAATAAGTGAACGGCAAGACACAGAAGAAAAGCAATTTTGCCTGCAATTTTCGAAAGTGTGAAAACATAAATAATGGAGAGAAAAAGTTAGTTTTCAATTTAATGTAAAGAAATCTTGAATTGTGTTTCAATGTCAAAGGAAGCATAATTAATATATCTGCCAGAAAGTGTATTCATCTGTTTCAAAACAGCCATAAGTCAAAAAATCAGATTGCAAGTTAATTTTTGATATTTTTTTCTTTTACCTCACAAAATAAAGGGTCGTAGACTTTAGTCCACATTCCAAAAAGGTCCTGGGTATGGTATCCTGTGAATGTTGGCAAGGTTTCTATAAAATCCTGAAACACACACGGACAGAGAAAATATTTCTACATTAGAGTCACTCAATTTCAGCATTACTGACATATGGGGCTGGATAATTTTCTTGTGGAGGGTGCCCTGTGCTTTGTAGGGGGTTTGGCTGTATCTGCGTTCTCTACCCACCAGATGATGAGCATCATCCCTATTCCCTCAGTTGTAACAACCCAAAGCGTCTCTGAACATTGCCCGGGTTCTCTGTGGGGCATATCTGCCCCCATTGAGAACACTGTTCTTCACATAAAAGTGCACCAGGAATATTGGCTGTGGTAATATGAACCCAAAGAATTTCATGAACACTAAATTGATCATTTTTCATGATTACAGTAAAAATGTGGGTGGATGCTGGCTTACTGCCATGTATTCCTGGTTTGTCCCAGAATCAGGCCAAGTGTACTACCTCAAAATTTTGGGGGAAGTAGGTGAAGTAGAACTCACACATAAATGACTGATCAAGATGTGAAGGGAAACCATGTCTTAGGCCAGAGCACCTCAGGAATATACCACAGAAACTGGACCTGCTATCTGGCTATACATTTGAAATTTGGGTGGGATACAAACATTTCTCTAGGTTCTGTATCATTCTTGGATTGTCATGGTAATGAGATCCACTATTCAGCTATCTGCCTGATGAATTTGGCAGCAATTTCTGGGAATCCTTGTGGAAGATATTGTTTAATGGATAAATTTTCTAGGAAAATATAAATTTGCCAATTTAACCTAAACAGATATCCACAAAACAAATATAATTATTGAAGATCTTCCCCCAAACCAAGCCAAACCAAACAAAAGCCCCAGGGCCAGATGACTTTATGGAGAAATTCAACCAAGATTTTCAAGAGTAAATTATTCTAATGCTATTTTAACTGTTATAGAGTATAGGGAAAGAAAAAAAAAAGAAAATTTCCAAAATATTTTTATTTTTATTATTTATTTACTTTTTAAAAAGATTTTATTTATTTATTCAGAAGAGACAGAGAGAGACAGGCAGAGGGAGAAGCAGGCTCCCTGCTGAGCAGGGAGCCCGATGCGGGATTCGATCCCAGGACTCCGGGATCATGACCTGAGTTGAAGGCAGACGCTTGACTGAGCCACCCAGGCGCCCTCCAAAATATTTTTATGAACTAAGGGCAACACAGACACTAACAAAATACTGGCCAGAAAAGAAAACTATAGTCCAATGATACTTTGAATATGAATGCAAAAGGTCTGAGTAAAATATTAACAAATAATTCAATATCCAAAGGGGCTTGAGTCTAGACATGTAAAGATGGCTCATTAGTAGTAAATCTACGAATATAATTAATCTTAGTAATTGATCCAAGGAGAAAAATAACTTGATTATATATATATTTTTAAAGATTTATTTATTTGAGAGAGAGAAAGAGAGCACTCACACACTGGAGGGAGGGGCAGAGGGGGAGAGAGAGAGAGAGAAGCAGACTCCCCGCTGAGCACGGAGCCTTACCTGGGGCTCAATCTTACAACCTGAGATCATGACTTGAGCTGAAATCAAGAGTCGAATGCTTAACCGCCTAATCCACCAGGTGCTCCTTGATTGTATTTAAATAATGTCAAAAAGATTTTTCAAAAAATTAAACACTAGTATTGTATAAAAACAATAAAAAATAGGAAAGATGGTTACTTCCTTAATTTGGTATAAATATCTCTATTTGGTCCTAAAGCCAGCATGCTTAATAGAGAAACACTTCTAAAATAAAAAATAAGCTGAGGATGCCCACAGCCAGTACTGTTATGTCCTACTCTATTCTAAGTACTGGCCAGTGCAAATACGCAAAAGAAATCAGAGGTAAAAATAGTTACGTCCTACTCTATTCTAAGTACTGGCCAGTGCAAATACGCAAAAGAAATCAGAGGTAAAAATATTGGAAAAGTTGAGGTAAGCCAAGGTTATTTGCAGATATTATAAGCTTGGCACAAGTTTCAAGATAAATGTAAAGACCTATGTGAAGAAAACCTTAAAAAATTCTTGAACAAATAGGATAATGTACCAAGAAAGGAATACTCAACATCATAGAGTTGTGAATTCTCCAAGTTAATTTATACATTTAATACGACCCCTAGAAACACTAGAAAGTAAAAAGAAAAGTTTTTGGAACTGAGACAAGCTGATTCTAAAGTTCATAAAGAAGATAAAAACACAGTCATGAAAACTCAGAAAAGTAGAGAATGAGGGGTGATAAGCCTTTTAGATATTAAAGCATGTATAAAGTCTTACTAAGTACAACAGTGTAGTTTTGGCTAGTGAAATGAAAGAATAATTGGATAGGATAAAAATTCCAGCAACAGACCACATAAATAGAATTTAGGGGAATAAAAATAAATAAAAATAGGGGAATTTTAATATATTTAATAGGAAAAAGATGGGAAAAAGATGGACTAGTCAATAAATAGTGATGGGGTTATTGGGTAATATGGGAAAACTTAAGCAGGATGCAAATTTTGCACCTAACCCCAGTATAAAAGGATCCAATATGTAAATGCAAACATGAAGATATAGTGGAATTAGAAGAAAACATTACAGACTTCCTTTGTAACCTAGGAATCGAGAAAGCTTCTCTAAATATGACTACAAATATACAAACCATATAGGAACACATCAGCACACTTAGGACTATGCCATGGCAAAAACACTATAACCAGTATCAACAGGCAAACAATAGAAACCATGCCATTCACGTTTGTGGAAAAAAATGTCAAAATATATTGAGAAAGCTCCTACAATGTACAGGAAAGAGAAAACCAATAATCCAAAGGATAAATGGTCAAGGGATAGGAAGACAACTGGAAATACAAAAGGCATTTAACTAGATAAAAATATTCCAAACTCACTCATCACAAGAGAAAAATATTACAGCACAATGCTTTATAATGGTGATGGTTCTGGGCTTCCTTGTCTTGTTGCTGATTTTAGAGGGGATGCTTCTAGTGGTACGGTTTTTTACTTACAGACTGTCAAGTATCCCCAAAGTTGTCTACACACCGTTGGCAAGGTTATAGAGAAACAGGCAATCCTGTGCATTGTTGATCGGGTCAGACATTAGTATAACCTCCTTGGAGAACAATTTGATAATATTTCATATTGTCCTAGAATTTCTACTTTTGGGGTATTATTCCACAGATATTCTTGTGAAATTATTTAGATGCACAAGATACTCATACAGACTGTAAATGATTGGAAATGACTCACTTGTCCATCAATATAGACTGGTTAAAGAAAGTATGGTACGTCCACGAATTCCAATGCAGTTATAAAAAATGAGGAAACTCTTTATGTACAGATTGAGTAACATTTCTAAGATATATTGTTAAATGAAAAAAACCCAAAGTGCCCAACTCTGTGAATACAGTATACTACTTTTGTGTAGCAAAGGGGATACTACCAGAATATATTCATATTTATTTGCATATGCATAAAGAAACTGCAAGACTATATAAGAAAATGCTGCCACCAGTTACGTGTGGGGTCATTAAGAGACTTTCCATTGTATTCCTTTTTATATTTTTTAAAATTTTGGAACCACGGAAATGTGTTAGAGATTCAAAATTTTGTTTTTTAAAAACACAGAGCATTATATCTACTTTTTAAGCATCGTCTTAAGAAGGGGTATTTTGCAAAGTGGAAACATAAAATAAGAAAGACTAATCTTTATATATGAAATCAATGGTCCCAGACCCTCAGCCTCATTAGGGAAGATCATTTTAGCCTTGCATGTGTTCTGACCCAGCCACGCACTTTCGTCCGGTTCCTTCTGGCACGCGGGTATAGGATTAGAAAGGGACTGGCTTCTTTACCGGCTTGTGGCCCCACGCAGGGAAGGGGACCAGACAGTGATGACTGACCGTCATTAAACGTTTCAACCCACTGCTCTAACTGGCCACTGGCAGACACATTTCTCCCACACTTTTAAGAAGCTGGAGCTTCATCCTTTGTCTTGGCCCTCACCCTCCCGTGCACCACTAAATGACATGATTTTTAACCTTGTAAGGATGCAACCTCTCCTGGAATTCCGTCGATTTGAGAGTCTCCTCCTTAAGTTCTTTAAAGCGAGGGCAGTCCCGGAAAGGCAGGTACAGCAACTGAGAACAAAAGAAAAACCACAAATTCTTTATTAGTCAGAAGAACTTTGCTAAAGAAGCTGCAGCCATGTTTTAAGCCTCATTAGGGGCAAAGTGATCTGAATAAAAGATTCACATGTGTTCTGAGCTGAATGGAAATTCTAAAATTGAGGAAAAAGAGATAAATGGTCTGTAGGTCTTACATGGTAGGATATGCACCCAGAACTGAAAAGCCTTTTTTTTTTCCCTTTCATGAACTTGCCTAAATAGGACTGTGTTGTTGGTAAATATTCACACTTCCTGGTTTTCCATGTTGATATAACTATTATTTCGATTCCTACTGGACCTCTTACATTTCTAGCATGAGATACACATGTGTGTGCAAAGGCATCCTGCCCCTCCACTCCATGCACACGAGTATAGAGAAATGAGTAAGAGGCTCTGGAGAGAGATTGATTAACCATTCACTGACTTAAGTTCCAGTCAAAATAAGGTTTTTATTATTAATTAATAATATCATTATTAAAACCCATTATGAGGACAAAGGGGTGAGTTTAAATTGGACAATCCTCATCCTCTGTAACCTCATGTCTAGGTTGGTGACTCCTCAGCTTATTTTGTTGCTCTGACTTTTCATTTGTGGCTGGTCTTCTCTTTCCAGCCCTTAGTGGACATCACTTCTTGGAGCTTTCTTTGCTTCCTCAAGTTTAACATGTACGAAACTGAAGTCAACTTCATTTTTAACCATTTTGCCTTTGTAATCTATTTACTTTGGCCAATGGTAAAATTTATCACCCTGTTTCATAGACTAATCAGTTTTGCTTGTTTACTTTCAAAATATATCCAAAATAGACTCCTCTTCATCATATTCATTGTTCCCTCCCAGTCCAAACCATCATAACCTGTGTTTCGACTAATGAAAGAGCCTCCTGTCTGGTCAGTAGGCATCCATCCATTCTTTCCATCTTTACAATTCATTCTCCATACCACAGCTACCCTAATCCTTTTTGTTTTATTTTTATAAATACAAATCCTTTTAAAGCATTAATCAGATCATGCCATTTTGTAGTTTATAAACTTCACTGGCTTTCATCTTACTTGGAATAAAATCCAAACTCAGTTAACCCTAAAGATCTCTGCCCTGCTTTCCTGCTACTGCCCCCTTATTCTTCTCCAGCAACACAGGGGCCTCCCCTCCTTGTCGTCCCCTGAACTCACAGGCTTGGGGGCTCTGCAGACTGTTCCCTGCCCGAGACCTTGCCCCTGGTGACTCCTGCCAGGCTCTTCTAACTCAGCCCCAGCCATGATCACATTAACTTGCTTTATTTCCTTTGGGGAACTCATCACCATTTGAGATTATTACTATTTTTTACATTACCATCTGTTTCCTATAAAATGTCATCTCAAGGACAGCCAGGATCTTGTCTGTCTTATCCATTGCTGTGTTGTCAGTGCCTAGAACAGAGCCTGGCATATTTGTAGCTGCTCAGAAAACTTTTTCAAAATAAGTTGCTTCCTGGGGCACCTGGGTGGCTCAGTGGGTTAAGCGTCTGCCTTTGGCTCAGATCATGATCCTGGGGTCCTGGGATCAAGCTCTGCATCCGGCCCCCTGCTCAGTGGGGAGTCTGCTTCTCCCTCTGCCCCTTCCCCCCCAACTCATACTCTCTCTCTCAAATAAATAAAATCTTAAAAAAATAAAAATAAGTTGCTTCCTGATTCTGTCATTTGCCTCACTCTGCTTTCCTTCTTCTCGTGTCTTTACCATATAATTTCAAACCTTCATTTCCTCATTCCTGAATGGCTTCCACAGGTATTCTCCGAGGTTCCAGTATCCTTTCCTTCCAAACCGTGGTCAGACAGATGCCTCGGAGCACGGCTCATCACGTGTGCACAGTACTGAGGAACGAACGTGCACAGGTTCTTTTTATGTCCACGGCTTTATAGCTCAATTTCCCTGTATGGCCTTCCAACTTTCCTACCGAAGGAACGGCACTGCGGAGGAATAGGCATGGGACTCTCCATTTAAAGATCTAGGTTTTAGTGAATTACTCAGCCTTCCTAGACTTTTGTTTTCCCATCCCACATCTTGAAAGAGGCTGAAAATAAGTGGGATAATCATCTAAATATTTGATCAACATTTTGCAATTCACAAAAGCTCTTCCATTTCTTTTTTTTTTTTTTTAAAGATTTTATTTATTTGAGAGAGAATGAGAGATAGCACGAGAGGGAAGAGGGTCAGAGGGAGAAGCAGACTCCCCACTGAGCAGGGAGCCCGATGCGGGATTCGATCCTGGGACTCCAGGATCATGACCTGAGCCGAAGGCAGTGGCTTAACCAACTGAGCCACCCAGGCGCCCAAGCTCTTCCATTTCTTAACCAGGTTTTCACAAGTCGTCCTGAAATATTTAGTTTCTCCTGTCTGTGCCCAACATAGTCAGACATTTTCATTCCTTCTAAATAAGAACTCTGGACACAGAAGGGCAAGCCCTCTATATATTCACCCACTGCCATGTTTTTGGGCTGCTTTCTTCTCCTTTCCTTCCCCCCTCCGAGGTCTAGTTCAAGCTCTCACTCTCTCCGTGACGACCAGAATGGCTGCCTGTGGTAGAGCCATGGGCGTCCTTCTGCGAGTCCCTCTCGCAGGTGCAGCTTGTCCTTGCTTCATCACCCACCACTTCGTATCGTGGTCTACACGCGTCACACATGCAAATCTGTTTTCATCAAGTGGATGATGAATTAGGGAAGAAACCTGGCCTCATGTTTCTCTACAGCACTTCGCACAGCTCTGGGAATGACTGTGTGTTGACTGTGTTGACTGTTAGGTTTCTTAGCTGATGTTAAAACTGTTTTTATCTTAGTGAGGACATAGCTGGAAGCCATGGGTAGATAATCTTGCTTCTCTCTTCCTCATTCTCCGTTGTTTCTCTTTTCCTTTTTTTCTTAAAGGTTTTATTGATTTATTTGACAGAAAGCGTGCATGAACGGGGGGAGGAGCAGAAGCAGAGGGAGAAGCAGGCTCCCCGTTGAGCAGGCTTGGCCCCAGGACCCCAAGATCATGACCTGACCCGAAGGCAGACGCCTGACTGAGCCACGCAGGCGCCCCTCTCTTTTCCTCCTCTGATAGCTCCTATAGTCTCTTTCCTACATAATTTTATTACTATCTTTCGGGATTAAGGGTTAAACATCTACCTTGGTCTACACTGGCTAAATCTGGTGCTGCTGTCCATGTCTATCTATGCAGAAAAGGCTGTGGCAAAAGCGATTTTTTTTTCTTTTGGAAGAAAATATTCACAAACTCCTAAGAATACTGATCATCATAATACTTCTCTCTTGATTCTGTGAAGGAAAGAGGTACAAATAAATCATCCTGTCTTTTCAGGAAACATCAGAAAAGTGGTTGGAGTAGACTTACCTAGAGTGAGGTTCACAGGGTCAGGCTGCTTCTACAAAGTATTTGGGAAAGATTCTTATGTCATCAGATGCAACAGTTAAGTCAAATGTCTAGGAGTACTGGCAGGGCAAAGAGGTCGGAAGCTTACCCCAGGGGCCCCTGGGCAACAGTCCAAGTGCAAAAGTCATGCTCAGCCTCAGCTACCAAGAGATGACATGGTCATGCTTACAGTGAGACTGCAGGGGAATCAGCACGGATTCCTTGTCCCAAAACATTCCCTTCAAATAGTCTTTTTTTTTCTTTTAATTTTTATTTTTTAGAAGGGGGAGGAGCAGAGGGAGAGAGAGAGAGAGAAACTTAAGCAGTCTCCACGCCCAGCATCAGAGCCTGAAGCGGGGCTCGATCTCACAACCCTGAGATCATGAGCCAAGCCAAAATCAAGAGTCGGACACCCAACCGACTGCGTCACCCAGGTGCCCCTCCTTCATATAGTCTTAAATTCCACACCTGGGAGATTAGTTAGATTTATTTCATCCTACTTAAAACCAAAAGCAATTCCTCTGAAAATATTAAAGAGCTTTTGGTGCATCCTACCCAGTGCAAAATAGATTTGAGAGTTTCTCTCAAAAGCCTCATTCAGGCAGCTTGGCTTATGGTACTGGTTCTCACACATGCTGTCCACTAGAATCATCCAGGGGGATTATTTTAAAAGTACTATGCCTGCATCCCACCCTCAGAGATCCCGATTTGTTATAGAGAGTGCCCTAGGTGCCAGGATTTAAAAAATTTTTTTTTCAGGTAATTCTAATATAATAACTTTGAGAACCACTAGTTTATAGGGAAGGAAATTGCTCTGGAATGAGATAGGCCTGGTTCTAGTCCCAGTAGCGATGCTTACCAGCTCTGTGGCACTGGGCCTATTTTGTTTCTTTCTCTAAGCACATATGTCCCTGGCTATAAAAGGAGAACAGTAATATTGTCCATTGAAGGTTGTTATGAAAGGTAAATATGGTGGCACATATCAAAGTGCTGGTCACTGACTATGCACTCAAATCTTTCTTTTTTCCCCTACCTCAGAATGGGGGTTTTCATGTGGGGAGGGGTATTTTGTAGGTAGAGAGGTCTCAGAATATTCTGGAGGGAGGAGAACCCTATTGTGGGGCACCAAAAGCCTGGGAATTGAAAGTAGAACAAGGGGAACTCTGTGTGTGTGTGTGTGTGTGTGTGTGTGTGTGTGTGTGTACATGTGAAGATGGAGAGGGGCAAATTGCCATTTTTTTAAAAAGATTTATTTATTTATTTTAGAGAGAGAGAGAGAGTGAGCATGTGGTGGGGAAGGGCAGAGGGACAAGGAGAGAGAAACTCAAGCGGACTTGGCGTTGAGCGTGGAGCAAAAGAGCCCGATGTGGGGCTCGATCCCATTACTGGGAGATCACGACCTGAGCCAAACCAAGAGTTGGCCACTTAATTGACTGTACCACCCAGGTGCCCCCATGTTGCCATCTGTTGAAAGGGTGGCAAAACAAAGTGGATGATAAAGGTCCAAACTCAAATTCTGTTCCTACTCTCTCTTGCCTGGGGCTTCTTATGTCCTACTTTGTCCTTCACAGCTTTATTTAGAAAAGGATTAAGATTTCACAGACCAAGCAGTCTCCAGACCTCCAAACTCACAAGTACTGGGCAACCTGCCTTCCTCCTCCTAGGCCAAATAGGAGGTTTTAGCAGAATACTCACCCGATCTTCAGAAAGAGAGAGTGTGTGCACTGGGATGGGCTGCCAGGGTAGGCTGGGATTCCAGACGCTGATACCCTCTGGGGGAAACAGGCCTGCAAGGTTTGTCATAGCACTCATCAAAGTCCTATCAACGTCCGTACTTTGAATATAAACCTAGAGTGGGAAAATCAAAGGAGATTCCAACTAATTGGAACTGTGCATTTTTCCCTGTGGAGCAAAGAGTACATTTGAGAAAGGCCAGGACCCTCACACGAAAACATTAGCAAACATTGTGGTAGCATCATGATCATAATATCTACTATAGAAGAGACAGTATTATGAGAATGCCACCTGGTATGTCAATAGTTGAATTGACAAAGAGACCAATTAAGTGGTGGCTAATTGCCAAGCCAAAATATTTGCCATAGGGGTCCATAAAATTTTGCACTTAGTCATATTCATAAATTTTTTAGGAACAAAGTATTTGTATGGAGAGGAGTACATTTAGGGTGCCTGGGTGGCTCAGTTGGTTAAATTACTGCCTTCGGCTCAGGTCATGATCCCAGGGTCCTTGGATAGAGCCCTGCATCAGGCTTCCTGCTTGGCGGGGAGTCTACTTCTCCCTCTCCCTCTGCCCGTCCCCCTCACTCATGCTCTCATTCTCCCTCTCTCTCGAATAAATAAACAAAATCTTTAAAAAAAGAGGAGTATATTTGTAAATAAGATCTCTGACTTGTGTAAGTTCTTTGGGAAACTGGAAAAGCACTTTTACAAATGCAACATTATGTTAAATTCTTTCAAGGAAATAGGTTCCCACTCTTGGCTCCCCAACTTGCCTGTTCATGTTTGTAGGACTCATTCAAAAATTTTCTGTATCTTTTCCTTATATACTGTCCAAGTTCATAATGCTGTTCCATGCCCAGCTATGGGAAAAATAAAAGCAAAAATCAGTGAAAGTAAATTCTGTGCATTTCATGTATGAGTCTCATCTCTCCTTATTGAATGTGTAGAGCAAACCATGGTGTAATTTAATAGTTCCACAAGAACATATTTTTAAATGAAAACAAGAAAAGAGAGTTGTAATCTTTAGCCATGACTCCTTGAGAAAACTCATGCATCTTCATTAGCACTTAACATAGAGCTTTGCACAGTTAATGGCTGGTGACTGATCTGGTTTAAGTAAATGGTTCATCTCTGGTGTGGTAGAACATCACTGGCTCATCTTTGTTGGTGAAACATTCAAGAGAGCTGGTTGACCACTTGATGGAGGTTTTGTGGAAGAAATTCAACCACCTGATAACGGGTTGGACTTGACGAATCTGCAGATCACTTTCAACCTCTCAGTATAATGATTTATTATCTGCACAGTTTATTTATGCCTGGTTCCTGAAAAACTAGAGTCTGTTACCCAAAGTGTGGTCTGGGGATCAGCAGTATTAGGATCACTTGGGAGTATGTTAGAAACCAAAGTCTTGGGCCCCATCTTGACCTTCTGAGCCAGAATTTTTGTCAGGGAGTGGAGCTCAGGAACCCCTTTTTAACAAGCTTATTAAGATTCTGATGGCCAGTAATCACTGAGAAATATTGCTTTAGTTCAGTGATCCTCAAGCATTACTGTGCATCAGAAGCAAAATTACCTAGGGATGCTTGTTGAAATGCAGATGCCTCAGCATTTCCCCCAGAGATTTCCTGCTTGTTAGATCCCAGTGTGGCCCTGGAATCTGCATTTTAACAAGGGCCCTGAGTGATTCAGATCCTTGCAGGAGAGTGCCATGCTTTGAGAAACACTGCCTTCAAGTCTGTCTTTAATCCCGAGTTTTATTAGAACTTCAGTAGTCAGAGAGGATGTGGTCCCTATAACCTCTGCTTGGTCCGACTCCTTCCTTTGCTTGTATTCCTGGCTACCATGATCATCACCACCCCCCTAGGATAGGGAAGGAGGTGGGGAAAGAGTAATGTGTGCTTTGAGTTCTGCTAGTTTCCTGGATGACATGGGTAGCTAAAGAAGCAGGTACTTTGGGCCTAATTTGTTATACTAACTTACAGCTGAATTTTAAAGAGTCATCTTCTATAGAGCAGTGGTTTTCAAATGTCAGCATGCACAGAATCACCTGGAGGATTCATTAAAATAAGGTTCCCAGAAATGAAGCCCAGAGTTTCTGGTTCAGTGGGGAGGGCCAGACAATTTACATTTCTGACAAGTTTCCAAGTAATGGTGATGTTGCCTGTCCAGGGACCACACTTTGAGAACCACTGACCTAGAAAGCCATTACCTTGTCATTATGTAGCTTGCAAGTACCTGGCCAAGGGCAGGAATTTGAGCTCTAGAACCTTGCGACTTCAAGAGTGGCCATGTACCAGCATCACTGGCTTCACCTTGGAGTGTATTAGAAATAAAGACTCTTAGGCCTATGTCAGACCTGCTGAATTAGAATCTGCATTTTTTCTTTTTTCCCCAAGTCTTATTGAGATATAATTCACATACATCACTGTATGAGTTTAAGATATACAGCATACAGCTTGGTACACACACACACACACACACACACACACACACACACACACACACCCATAATGGAATATTATTTAGCCATAAAAAATGATAAAATCCTGCTGTTTATGACAACATTGATAAACATTGAGGACATTATGCTAAATAATATAAATAATATAAGCCAGAGAAAGACAAATACTGTATGATCTCATTTATATGTAAAATCTCAAAAAAATTTTAAAAACCAAACTCCTAGAAAAAGGGATCAGATTTGTGGTTACCAGAGGCAGGGGAAGGGGGGGGAAGAGGATTGGGAAAAAGGTGGTCAAAAGGTACAAACTTCCAGTTACAAGGTAAATAAGTAGTAGGGATTTAATGTACAGCATAACGACTATGGATAAAATAGCTCTATCATACATATGAAAGTTGTTAAGAGGGTAAATCCCAAGAGTTCTCATCCCAAGGAAAAAAAAATTTTTTTTTTTGCTTTCTCATTTTATTGTATCTCTATGAAATGACAGATGTTAACTAAATTTGTAACAGTGATCATTTCACAATATATGTTCTCTCGTTTAAGGAGCTGAAAGCTGGGTAGGAGTGAGGTATGGTGGGAGGAGCTCTGACCGGGGAGCCAAAAGATGCTGACCTCAAACAGCCTCTGCGGGATTTCTCCTCTATGAAACATTGTGGTCGAATTAGGGAAGTGATTCTCAGACTTGGCTGCACATTAGAGTCAACTGATCAACTGAGGAGTTTCTAAAAATCCCAATGTCCAGGTCGTACCCTAGATGAATTAAATAAGAACCTCTGTCTGGGAGGCAGACAGACATCGATATTTTTTAAAGCTCTCCAGATAATTTCAATGTTTAGCCAAGACTGAGACCCATTGGTTTAAATGCTTAGTTAAATGTTTGGTTAAATGTTTAGAGACATTCAACTCTAAACATTCTATGACATTTTCTTAATGTATTTAAACATTGCTTTGGTCGGGACAGAAGCAACACACGTGGTCTCTGGCTCCAAACAGAAGAGCGATCCACTCTTGCAAGAGAAGGGGGTAGGGCACGGGGGCAGTGACTACAGATGCCTCTGTCCCCCACCCAACCCCGCCTTCACCTTCTCCTTTAGGAAGTAGGGCTCCCTGTGTTTAAGACCACTTATAAGAAGGCCTCAATCCCAGTATATCCAGCTGATTAAAAATAAAATTTGATATCAGCACTTCCAGAGGAATCCTGTTTTCCCAACCCTGCTGATTCAGTTTATCGATTATAAGATTATTTTCTACTTCCTCAGGAGGAGGCTGAGAAACTCAAGGGGCAGGCTTCCAAGTATCTCTTGGCTCTCCTCAGCATCTTTAAGCTCATGTATTCATCTGTTGCCATGCACAGCTCTTAGGCTTTAATAAAGCCAAACAGGGCAAAAAAAGATCAAAACGGGCAATTTTATACAATTTTCCTACAGTTACTAGTCACTAGGAGTGACTTGGTCATGATCAGAAATTATCGAAGTTAACCATTGTGCCTCGCCTTTCACAATCAAAACACATTTTCAACTTTTAGTTCCTAGTAACTGAAGTGGTTATATGGTTTCAATGTATTACAAACTCCACACAGTTTCCCTTAAGACTCATCAGCAAACTTTAGCTGAAAATCCAACCAACCTGAGTGAGTTGGCCAAATCCTTGTGGCCATGAGGATTCCTTAATGGGGTCGTTAGGAAAGGTTTCAATGGGACTTCGGTCTCCATGCCTAAATACCTGAAAATAGATCAAGACAGTAACATTACAAATTTCACTTAGGTGTTTTGCCTCAGCTCATCCTAATAGATTTTCTTCTAAACCACTGGTTTTCAACCTTGGGATGTGGCCAGGGAATCAGGATTTTAAAGACATCCCCAGGTAAGGGGCGCCTGGGTGGCTCATTCAGTTAAGGGTCTGCCTTCAGCTCAGGTCATGATCTCAGGACCCTGGGACTGAGTCCTGCATTGGGTTCCCTGCTCAGTGGGGAGAGTGCTTCTCCCTTTCCATCCACCATCCCCCCTGCTTATGATCTCTCACTCTCTCTCTCAAATAAATAAAAGGATCTTAAAAAAAAAAAAAGACCTCCCCAGGTAAATCTCAGGTTAAGAAGCGCTGTTTTAAGCTCACTAACACTTTCTTGTGTTTCAGGTAATGTAAGTAACAAGACGGTCAGTCATTAGAAAGCAGGCGAGTCACTCATGGAGACTGGTTTGTATATTGGGGCAAGGAGGAACACAAAGCTTAGCAAGATCACTTTATTGCAGACACTGATGAGAAGTAATCTTCCTTAATTATGGTGTTAAAATTTTTACATATGATGAAATAGTAGATTTAAATGCCACATATAATTTGTGACCATCTTGAGCCAATGATTAGTTTTTAGATTAGAGATAAAGGACTTATGGAGAGGGAGATTAGAAAAGCTAATTCTTAATACTTTAAGAACATACCTCTGAATTTGTATGCATGTCATGCTATTTTGATTGCACATTTTCCTCTTTGGGGAGAGTAGTTTGGATTTTCAAAACCTTGGTATTTTATGACTCCAATGTGCTTTCTGAATAAAATACCAAGCTAAATACAAAGCTATTTTATAAGCAAAAGATAAGACATGAAAAACACTCAAGAAATCCAAGATGACGTCTATACTGATGCCAGCAAACATTTTTAATACAGAGGAGGGCCACATAACACCTTGCATCATTTGAGATTTCCTGCACTTGTCATTGACACTACCTGGCTAAGATGCTCCAGTAGACACGGAATAAGGAACAGTCCTAAATGTTGACCATCTTTCAGATGGGATTCCAAGAAAGTGAGAGAGGCTTATGGGACTTGGGCTGTGTCTCTGGTGTCTAAAGAAAACTTATCTTTTGGTCCCCTAAACTGGTGAGAAATAAAAATTGCAGTAGAACAGGCTACAGCAAACAGAGACCATGGCGTAGTGGATCTTAGGAAATCATTTTGGTCAGGTAAGAAACTGCTGTTATGAATGGTCCCTTCATGGCTGGAAGAAAGGCTGAATAATTTCAGAAATTATCAAGGCTAATCATTAGTGCTCTTTCTTTTTTCAAAAGATTTTTATTTATTTATTAGGGAGAGCAAGAGAGAGAGCATGAGTGTATGTGGGGGGGGCAGACTGAGAGGGAGAAGCAGGCTTCCCACTGAGCAGGGAGCCTGATGCAGGGGGCTCGATTCCATCATGACCTGAGCCGAAGGCAGACACCAACTGAGCCACCCAGGCGCCCCTCATTAGGGCTCTTTCTATAATCCAAACATATTTTTGACTTTTTAGATCCCAGGTAATTGTGCAAAATACTTTCCTAGATCTGAGTAACTAAAATTGTTACGTGGTTTCAGTAGATTATAAATCCTACAATGTTTAGTTTCCAGGGCTTCTCAACCTCAGCACTGTTGACATTTTGGGCTGGATAATTCCTTGTGAGGGGCTATCCTGTCCACTGAAGAATGTTTAGCAGTGTGCCTGGGCTTTGCGCACTAGATGCCAGGAGCAGTCCCTAACTGTGACAACGAAAACGTTCTCCAGACACTGCCAAATGTGCCGTTGGGGGGCAAAATCATCTCTGGTTGAGAACTCCTGAGTTAGCCAAAGGGAAGTCAGATGAGAGACATTGTAGCAAAATAATTTACAACACTTCCTACCAGCCTATAACCACAATAACTCCTCAAGGTTTTTTGAATGCTTGCTGTGTCCCAAAAACTGTGCTAAATGCTTCTCATAATTTAATCCATTCATCAGTTCTCCAAAGCATTTACAATTATTATCTTCATTTCACAAACAAGGAAATCAGCCCTAGTTAAGTGACCTCCCCAAGGTCACACAGCGTGTAAGTGGCACAGCAGAGATCCAAACACAAACCGTGTGCCTTCAATGCCAGCATTCTTAACCCGTGTAAGGGGCTCATTTCTCTGCTAAAACGCACCCCTCAGCATCCCACCACCAGTGGGTGATCTGGGATCTGGGGCTTCTTTATAAACTCCCGTCTTTTCCTCTGAGATTGGGAGCTCTGTGTGTTGTGGGGGGAGGGGGTGGTGTTGCACTAGAGGAAAACCTTGATGTAAGAAACAATTCCAAATCCTATTTAAAAAATAAAACTGAGATTATGCATCTAAATGACAGTATAGCCTGGGGAGAAAAATAAGCATGGTTCCCTTAGAGGAGGGTTATTTAAACAGCAGAGCCCTGGAACATAATCACAGGTTTGAACAAGTTTTCTTACTCTGTCCTTACAGGTCAGGAATAATTGTACTCCCCTATATTGTAGTAAGTTTTAAGAGTTTTTGAGGTAGTGACTCACACATGCTGTGAGCTCTTCAGAAGGGGTATCTCCCAGAGACAATTAATAAACCATCCCTTCCCTGCCCCCGGATGCTGGAAATCAATATGTGTGCGGGTGCATGCGCCTGCGTGCGTATCAGTTAGTGCCCTCAAGTGCACACGTGCCATTCTTGAGCTCCTGGAGTTTCAGCTGGAGACTTTGGACTGTGCCTCGGTGCTCTTTTAAGCCTGTGGTAAGGCAAACTTCTTAACTGCAGCTCTGCTGAATTTATAACTTCTGTTCTCAATCCTACAATCATACTCTATGAAATCCTTTAGAAACCTAAATATATAGGGTCAGCCCTAGGACTATTTTGCAGTCCTAGTGGTAATTGCAATAGGAAGACATCCAGGAGACCAACCCCTTACATGGGTGCAACCCTCCACGTTTTGTACAGTCTTTTCCCCACTCACTCTTTCAATTCTCACAACTCCAGTGAGGCCAGGCTGGCCCTATTGCTGTCCTGAATAAAGAAGGAAACTGAGGTTCAAAGAGATTGAATGAGCCGTCCAGATCTCCTAGTTTTCATGATTGCTACCCACTGTTTTCCCCACCACATCACATTCACTTCATCCTTTTAGATCACAGGTAACTTTTTAAAAAAAAAAGAGCCATGGTTTGGTACCCCCATGAATGATCGGCTGAGCAGATTCGGCGTGTTACATCATCCTGCCTGATCTGGCCCTGCCCACCTCGATGTTACTACCTTATGGTCTTGCTAAACACAGAGCCCCTGCTCTTCCATCAATACATTGTTCTAGCTTCAGGGTGGTGATGTTCTACCCGTGGAGGTTAGGTGTACAGACTTAACGCGTCCGTAGTAGTTTCCTCGCTGTTTCTCTGTGATCCAAGAATAATAAATCTTTCCCACTTCTGAAAAGCTGTTCTGGGCAGCAAGAGGAGGAAACTGTCCTTGGTTCTTCCTTGCCTGTAATGTCCTACTTCTACTTCTAATCCTGGAGGTCACTAAATTCAGGTCCCTCCTGAAAAAGGCAACCAAGAGAGGTCTCCCTTCACCTCCCATACTCACCATACTTATTAGTGTCTCTCTAAAAAGTTAGATATAATGATTCTCTAAGGGTTTTCTAATGGGACACTCTGGAAAAAGAAGGAGGTGGATTCTGTGGTCAAAGTTCAGGAAATATAGTTTACTACTAGATCCATTCCTTTAAAGCCACAGCACATAATAAAATATTATTTTTTTTTAAAGATTTTATTTATTTATTTGAGAGAGAGCAAGAGAGTGAGAGAGAGCGTGAGTGGAGGGGCAGAGGGAGAGGGAGAAGCAGACTTCCCACTGAGCAGGGAGCCCGATATGGGAGTTGATCCCAGGACCCTGGGATCACGACCTGAGCCACCCAGGTGCCCATACATATTAGAATATTAAAGACTGAGGAGTCCTGCCCTTTAGAGACCTGAAATACAGTGTAACCCTTGTTCTGTTCCCAAAACTGATTTGACTATTGAAACCCATTTTTTTAACCAAGAAACTCCTGTTAACAACTTGTCAAACTAGTATTCCGTGGGACACATGTTGATAAACCTGTTTTTAAAAGATTGTGTGATAACTCTGTTCATGAGACAGAACAAGAACCAAGGGCAGTTTCCTCCTCTTGCTACCAAGAACAGCTTTTCAGAAGTGGGAAAGATTTATTATTCTTGGATCACAGAGAAACAGCGAGGAAACTACCTACTGATGATGTGTTAAGTCTGTACACCTAACCTCCACGGGGAGATCTCAGCTCCATACGCTGGCTTAAGTGCACACAGCAGGAATGGAATATGTATAGTGATTTGGGGCATAGCCTCTTCGATCATACAGCCTGGATTCAAATCCTGACTACACCACGGTTACTGTGTAACTATGGCCAAGTTGTTTAACCTCTTTGCGTTTCAATTTCTTTATCTATAAAATAGAGATAGTAAGGTTTTTATAAAACTTTATAGAACAGTTGCCAGATGTAGCAAACCAAACTACAGGATGCCCAAATATTGCACGAAACATGCTTTATGCTATAAAATTATTTGTTGTTTACCCAAAATTCAAATTTAACTGGGTATCCTGTGTTTTCCTAGCAACCCTACTTTACAGGGTTGTTGGGAGGATAATGTGACATATTCCATATTGAACTCTCATAACAATGCCTGGCATATAATAAGCATTGAGTAATGATTGGTTATTGTTACAAATGTTACCACTTTGAGCAGAGGCACCTTTCTTTTATTCCGGTTCTAATGATTTTCTAAGGATTTGCCTGGGCATATAATTTAACCATTTATAGTCATATATTCCCCATAATCAATAAAAAGAAGAAAATAGTATCTAATTGTGTAAGTCCTTAGATAGATATTGTTTTGTAAGAGCCAAGAAAGTTGTATTAAGTCGCCCTTCATCTACCATTAACGGAAGAAAGCCTTGGTAGGAAAAATTAACATTAGTCTTGTGTGATAAATATTATTTATTCCTTTTAGCTCCAGGAGAGCTATCTTTGTAAGGTTTTCTTTTCTTTTTTTAAAGATATTATTTATTTATTTGTCAGAGAGAGAGAGAGAGAGCACAAGCAGGGGGAGCGGCAGGCAGAGGGAGAAGCAGGCTCTCCGATAAGCAGGGAGCCCGATGCGGGGCTAGATTCCAAGACCCCGGGATCATGACCTGAGCAGAAGGCAGACGCTTAACTGGCTGAGCCACCCAGGCGCCCCTCAGGTTTTTCTTAGGGAAGAATTAACTTGTAGTCCCTGAACACATGGTAACTGAACGTGAAGGGGGAGAAAGGAAGCCCACAACAGTTTGGTAGTCGAGGGAAGTGAGCCTGCGCTGGAGTAAAACAGGGAGCGAATCGACCACATGCGGTTAACTGCAAGTTCATGGTAGTATCTCAGAGAGGATTACCTCTCAACCAACTTGCCACAGACTGACAGTGTTGACAGTGCCATTTCCGCGGCGTCCCCACACTTGCTTAATGCACATGTTGGCCAGGAACCCATGAATATAAGTAAAAGTCCAACTTGCACGGATTTCTCTACAGAAGGTACATGATATGACACACTTTTTTTTTCAGCACCGAAGTCTGACAGCTGGTAAATCATTTGTAAATAAATTGATATGTTTCTCTGATTCTCTCTCCTGTGTTGACTTAGGACCTAGTAAAGATAATTTGCATAATCATATGGTCAGAAATTTGTTTCTGTAGAAGGGAAAGAAAGGAGTTCTGAATACACTAAGCTGAGGAAATAGGAACTTCATGTTTGATTTTTAGGTAAAAGATGACCTCCCTGCAAATTATAGAAATAAATTTTGAGTATTCTTACAGTAAGAAAATTTACTTATTTGTCAGCATATTTTCAGTCTATCAAATAAAAAAAGGTGAGGAAGAGAAAGAGATTGAGAGAGCGGATGTGAAAGACAAAGAGAGGGTCAGAGGCGGAGGGAGACTGAGTGAAACGGCTCAAGAGAAGCAGAGATACCGAGAAAATCACGGACAGAGAAACCGAGGGATTAATTCCAGGACTCATACAGATAAAGTGATAAATCTCCTTCACTTTGCAAACCCCCTTCCTACCTATTTTGAAGACAACGTCAACAGTGTATTTTCTTTCCTTAACCTCTCGCACCAGCCACCCCTCTTTTCCCATAACTTTTTTTTTTAAAGATTTTATTTATTTATTTATTTGAGAGAGAGAGAGAGAATGAGAGATAGAGAGCACGAGTGGGAAGAGGGTCAGAGGGAGAAGCAGACTCCCTGCCGAGCAGGGAGCCTGATGTGGGACTCGATCCTGGGACTCCAGGATCATGACCTGAGCCGAAGGCAGTTGCTTAACCAACTGAGCCATCCAGGCGCCCCTCCCATAACTTTTTACACTGCCCCGGGGGAGAAAAACATTATTTTAATGATCAACCAAATCTACATATCAGGAAGTCCTCGAAATCTCGAATTTAGTTTCACTTTTATGCTTCAAAGACTGTTTACAAATATAGTTTCCAATTTCCTGATTAAAAAAGGGGGGGAAGGGGCTACTTCATGCAGAAGATGACTGTTTTTAAATACTCATTACACTGAATGAAGTCTGCTTAGCTCCTGGTGCTAACGTGGCTAGCTGAGGCTTCCCCCCCCAGCATCATGTGGCTATCAGAAGGAAATGCACTCAAGGCAGCTGTGAAGTAAGTGAATAAATAAATAATAGCAGCAAAGGCACAAATAACCAAAGCAAATACTTTTTGTCAGGACACGTTAAGCATTCGTTAGGAGGAACTTGCGAAACTAGATGATTCACTTTCTGAGTTTGGTCTCTGGGAGACAGTAGTAGGGGGTAAAGTGAAACCTGATACTTGGATATCAGACCCTGCTGGTAACAGTTTTAAGGGAAAAACAATAGAAAAGCCTACTCACCAACGTCACCAACTTGAGCTCTTTAGCTACCGCACCTCGGCCTACCCCGGAGAGCAGAAGCAAGCAGCTAAGGCAAAGGTTTGTTGCCCTGGCCACGAGGAGCAGGGCAGGCCTCATGCTGGGGAGTGCTGTCTCGGGCAGCAGTTTGGAGGTGCTGTTTCCAGAGCAAAAGCCATTAGAGGGGAAGCTATTTAACAAAGGATTGAAAGGGAAGGAGTCACTGGGAGGAGTCAGACTCAGAAGTAGTAAGATCACCAGGTAGTTTGGGGCGGGGTTTGGCGTGTCTGGTCAGATAATTTGGGGGCTGGGTGTGAGAGAGCACAATCTTCTGGATTTAAGGTAGAACACTGAGCTCCAGGGAGGGGAAAGCTGTTGCTCAAGGTCACGGAGCATGTTAGGAGATTTTTTTTTTTTTTTTTAAATTTTCACATTCTCTTTAGATAGGGTGTGATAGAGTGTTTGCTTTCTGCCTGTCACTTGGGAAAGGGATCTACCTTGACTTTGGAAACCTTAGGCCAGTGATTCCTAATCTTTTGGGAATCCAGGAATATAAGCACAGTAATATGGAAGGGATTGTGGGTACTGGCATATTTTGGGTCTATTCCCCAGGCCAAACTTGGCTTCCTTTTGTAAAACTCTCATGTAGTCTAGAGAGGTGTTTTTATTTTTGTTTATTTTTTTTTTTGAGAGGTGTTTTTAAATTGAAGAAAAGTAAGAGAAATTTTATTTTGAAATTTTTTAATGACAACCTTAAGATATTTGGGGTTCATCTGTGGCATCTCAAAATTAGGATTAGGAGTACCTTTCCAAACCTGACACAATTGAGAAACAATGACAACAACAACAAACTGACCTATGCTGTCAGTCACCACCTTGTGCCAGGAGCCCTATGTTCTGCATTCTGGGTGAGTCACACCCTTGCCTCTCCAGCCCTGGTCTCATCAGGGACGCCACAAAAGAGGATAATCCGGACTGAGGGAACGTAGCTTTCCATTTTTTCCCCAACCCGCCAGCCCCATTGTAGGCTGAACTGTCATGATGCTCCCACCCCATCAGCTGAGGGAGAACAATGGTTTGTCCCATAAGCTGTTCTCTGGTACATTGCACATACCTGTGGCAGGAGGGTTCTGTGGTCATAGGATCATAGGATGCCGTCGAATGTGTTGTGTGGGGAACCGGTTGCTTCTTTTGGTGTGGGAAAACAGTGTGTGAAGAATGAATGAATGTGTGGTAGGGTTAGACATTTGAGGGGTCTTGGGACCCTCTCTTTGCTATCACATTCTTCACCTGCTAGTCCCCACGGTCATTTGCAGTGGGTGACATTTTGAGGAGATGGGTTCAGGGAAAAGGGGATGAAGACTGAGAGATCATGCAGGGCAGATTTGAAATTGCCACATTGATGATCCCTGCCATATGCACCAGGCAACCTGACCAAGGAAGCTCCAGAACCCGTTGACCTTTCACTTGACCCACATGCCTTAAATTGTGCCAGATACATGATTCTGTTCAATGTTTTTTCAAGGATCAGCCTGGCTCCTCATTCTCTTGTCTTCTTCCTTATCTGCCTCTGGATTGATGCCTGGCTATAGCCTTAGTGCTTCCTGGTAATGGCTCTGGTTCTCTAACCCACCTATGCCATGTTGTGCTAGGTTGGATAGAACCCTCTTCTGACCCAGATCCTACTTGCTTTGCGTCACCTCCTCTGGGCTCCTCTTAGCCCTCCAAGTAGGAACAACAGCAGCAGAAGCGGCAAACTTAGAGAGAGAACCAGAAAAAGGCTGATTAAGTTGAAGACATCTCCGTTTAAACTGATTCAAGTTGGAATAAGTGGTTTATACTTCTATTCTCCACCCGAGTCACCACACTAACTTCTACTTTGATTATTAAATTATAAGGGGAGGAGAAGATCATAAATATAGATCTGAACACCATGAAATTGAGTCTGAAAAACCTCAACTCAGATAAAATTCATTTAAAAATCTTCTTTGGTCTCTTGAACCTTGAACTCATAGGCTTTTGCAAAGACTTAAAAGAGTTATCTGGAATAAACATATGGATATGGTAGCATTAAAGGTGAGACTTCAGGGCACCTGGGTGGCTCAGTCGGTTAAGCGTCTGCCTTCAGCTCAGGTCATGATCCCAGGGTCCTGGGGTTCAGGGTCCTGGGATCCAGTCCCCCAGCGGGCTCCCTGCTCAGTGGGAGTCTGCTTCTCCCTCTCCCTCTCCCCCCCGCATGCTCTCTCTCTCTCTCTTGTGTGAGCGTGTGTGCAAAAATAAGTAAATAAAGTCTTAAATAAAAGGAAAAAAAGGTGAGACTTGAGAAAATATTGGGATGTCTTTACTGATACCCCAATACAGGGTGCCAATAATTTTCATGTCGATGATTAGCAGAACTTAATGTCTGAATCACTTTTGTTTCCTTATATAGCAAGTGTTCCACCTCTACGTAACTAAGACAGCACAATGTTAGAAAAGTCCCATAAGTGGAGCAGGTTGGATTCATTGGAAAGCCAACTCCCAGATGGAGATTTGCATGCAGGAAATTTATTTAGGAATGTTCTCAGGATCAACAACAGAAGGGGGAAGAGAAATAAGCAGGGTTGGGCAGAGGGAGAAGGCCTCAGCTGACCTTGCTAGGAGTGCAGAAGCTGGTGTAGCCTTTTGGAGTTATCCCGAACTGGGGTGAGGGCACTGGGTGATTTTTTTACCCCTGCCTCATCCAGTCATTGGATGTAGGCTGCTCCCAGCGGGGAGTGTGACTGTGGGTAAGGTGGCTTTCTTCTGCCATGGCAATTCTGAAAGGAAGTGACAGCTGAGTAATGTCAGACAACAAAGTCCCAAGAGCTGGAGGGAATTAATCCTTCAGCTCATCAAGGGAAATTTGGGTGATATTACACAGAATCCTTGACAATGAACAATTATTCATAGGGAAAGAATTCATGACTCTGGGTAGATCAAGGGCTGTAAAAGCACTAAGTGTCCCTCTGATAGCAAGAGTCTGGGTTGGAGTTAAGATCTATCAGTAGATATATTGGTTCCTCACCTAGTAGAAAGGCTGTGTTTAAACCCCCTGACTTGTTATACCTTCACAATTGCATTATTTGACTCTCAGTGACTTAAGGACTATTGGGCACTAACTAGTAATGATTGATCAATAGTTAGCATCAGGGCAAATTGTTGCATCAGAACATGGTTACAAAGTTAGCTGCTCTGAGGCAAAATTTAAGAGGGGCTTAGAATAGAAGTGTTTTTCCCCTCAACTGATCATTTTAGGTGTTTAGTGTCTGTCTGTAAGTCTGTTTGCCCTTGGTATGTCTATTTTATTTTGAATATTTAGGTAAACATCCAATGTCAATGTCATTGGTGGTATGGGGGGTGGGGCGTAAGATTAGTGACAATGCCCTGCCAAACTTGATGGGAGCCTGAGGCAAAAGGAAAACTGGTAATGCTGATCCTGTCTTTATTTTAAACTTTGACATCTTTTTATTTTTTATTTATTTTTAAAAAGATTTTATTTATTTACTTGAGAGAGAGAGAGAGAGAATGAGAGAGAGAGCACGAGAGGGAGGGAGGGTCAGAGGGAGAAGTAGGGCCCCCGCTGAGCAGGGAGCACAATGAGGGACTCGATTCTGGGACTCCAGGATCATGACCTGAGCCCAAGGCAGTCGCTTAACCAGCTGAGCCACCCAGGCATCCCTAAACTTTGACATCTTTTTAAATGATAGATTGCTTTACATTAATTTTTGTTTTTCAAAATACTGTGTTAAAATATGGGTACCTGGGTGGCTCGGTTGGTTAGGCATCTGCCTTTGGCTCAGGTCATGATCTCAGGGTCCTGGGATCGAGCCCTGCTTTGGGTTCCCTGCTCGGCGGGGAGCCTGCTTCTCCCTCTGCCTGCCACTCCCTCTGCTTGTGCTCTCTCTCTGTCAAATAAATAAATAAAATCTTAAAAAAAAATACTGTGTTAAAATATTATTGATCATTATTAGGAAGTTTTGGGCATCCCCTTATGTTATGAGCCCAAGGTGAATGCCTTGCTCTCCTCACCCTAGTTCCCAGGCATGACTCTATGAATTGGAACATGGGAGAGAACAACTTCTTTTTTCTTTTGAGATGAAATAGTCTGACTTCCTTTTGTTCTGTCTCCAAGGAATTGAAGGCTTGGGCAGGGTAAGGACATCAAGAACTGAAAGGAACAGAGGACTTTTATCTGTTAGGTTGAACCAAGCTGACGTTCAGCTACTCCTCAGACAGTAGTTACCTGCATCGGGCTGGCCTACTCCTTCACCCCTGTGATAACGCTGCTTTCCTCACATTCAGAACTAACTCACCTGAGAGAAGATGTGACAGTGACTCATGCCTGAGAAGGAGCTCTGAAGAACAGGGATGGGGTCTGAAATGGTCCCTCAGGAACGAGTCTTAATTGTTCAGGCTCTGCCAGGAGAGACAGTTGTGTTGTCGTCCATCTTGAGAGTCATTCCAAGGCTCTGGTTACAGGGATAACCAGGCAGATATTGTCCTACCACTGTTTCACCTCTAATATAGCCATCCAGACTGACCATCGTATTGGTTCTACTGTATTTAACATGGAAGGGAAAGAACTCACCACTTATAAAAATGTTATCCTATCTCATTTTGTGTAATGTGTTGAAGAAACGTGCACATTTTGATGGTGCTTTTTTTTCTGGGTGATGTGATTGTGAGTGGTTTTACTTTCTTCTTTCTGCTCTTCTCTACTTTCCAAATTTCTCACAATGAACAGATATTTTTATTAAAATCAGAATAGAAATTTTAAAATGTCTAATATGAATGGTATGCTATTTCTCACTTGATTACCAGGTACCCTCCGAGTTATAGAAGGTGGGTCTGAAAGGTCATTGAGTTTATAGCATAGTTCACCTGACGATTCCTATTATAGGACCAATTCCTAAGCTGCCAAAGAGAGAAAAACTTCTCTCTCCTGTCCCAATTTCTGTCTTGTCTTTTGATGTATCTTGTATTAAAAAGATCCCACAATTGCCGGTAGTGTCGTGAAAATTCCAGGATAATGCAACACCCATTTAGAAAGTCCTCAGTCTGTCCTTAAGAATTCCCTGAATCACATCGTGTCAGTGGCCCATTAAAAATCCTCCACTGGCTTCCCACCATAGTTGGAGTAAAATCCCAAGTTCCTCCATGACATACAAGGAGCCTACTACCTCTT